GTCTACTGCCATGCATGGCTTTGTCTTGAGTTTTTAAGGAAGTTTTAAATGAATACTTTGTTTACATGAAACTTGGTTGAAAGAAACAATTGTCTTAAAGTACATAAAATTTAAGCCTAAGTGTTGATCATTTTTCACTTGTATAAAAACATACATTAGACAGCTTTGTTAGTGCAGTCTGTAATTGCAGCACTTGGGAAGCTGAGGCAGAAGACTGCTGTGAACTCCAGGCTACACTGGCTACAGCAAGACTGGCTCAAAATAAAAAGAAAGAAAAAGAAACTTAAGGATAACCATATCATATTTAATTAATGAAAATTACCAACAGGTGGGATGGTGCATGCCTCGCTCAGCACTCAGAAGCCTGAGGCAGGAAACACAAGTTCAAGGCCAGCTAAGACCGTATTTTGGTTAAAATAAAACTACATTATAAATCTGTCATATTCTTCATCACAGCTCAAAAGTAGGAAACCGGGGCTGGGTGTGGTGATACATGTCTGTAATCCCAGCACTCAGGGAGGCAGAGGCAGGCAGATCACTGAGAGGTCGAAGCCAGCCTGGTCTGCAAAGCCTGGACAGCCAAGGCTACACAAGGCTACACAGAGAAGCCCTGTCTCAGAAAAAAAAAAAAAAATAGGAAACTGGGTCTTACTGTTCTGGCATCCTTCCGTTGCCACAATAAAACAGTGACCAACAACAATGTGGACAGGAAAGGATTTTAGTTGGCGTACATTTTCTTCACTGTCATGGAAGCATATGAGAGCAGGAACTCAAGCAGAACAGGAGGTAGAAATCATGAGGAAATGCTGCTTGCTGCCTCATTTCTACTTCTCTCACTCTCTTGCTTGCTCACAGCTTATACAGCCCTTATACAGCCCAGGATCACCCTGCTCCTCCTAGGTCAAGTAAGACAATCTCACACAGACCTATCCACAAATCAACCTGATAAAAGCTCAACTAAAACCCAGGTGACTCCAGACTGTTGGCTTTACAGCTGCGGCAAACTAGGGTATATTGTGAAATAGCTGCCCCAAACTCCAAAAAACTTAAGTTGACGCTACTCTAACATTCTTCTGTAATAACTGTTCAAACCGTTCTGCCTTTATGTGGTTGTAATACTCTTCAAAGTGTATTTGTCACACTGGAGCCTAGGTAAGTAAACCTGCTGTGTTCCCCAATGCGGTTAGTGCTTCACACACTACCCAGGACACAGGACAAGCTCATTCCACATCTGAGCAAGCAGACAGATGGCAGAGGTGACAGGACAACGACATTATCCACAATCATTGCCTAAATGAGTAAGGGGCTTGTGATAACGACTCACCTGCCGTAATAGAAAATAAAGTGGGGTAGGTTTATACTTAACAAAACATACAAGCAATCAGAAAGCCAGGGTTCCAGGAAGTTGCCTTCAAGAACTAGAGGATCTGGGGTAAGTGCTGCAGAGGTCTGGGCTTCCATACCTAATTGAAAATGGAAGACAGGCTTTGCTGAGGATGGCAGTTTAGATGGGAAGACCTGGAATCCTGGCTAACAAGCCAGTGGGGTGGGAGGTAGAAGAATAAGCAGTTCCTTTCCATGGCCATTCTAGTTTCACTCTGTTGCTGTAATAAAACAGTCTGACTGAAAGCATCTTGGACATGAAAGGGTTAATCTGGCTTCCTTCCCTCCAGGACACAAATCTTCAGTGAGGGAGCGAAGTCAGGGCAGGAACCTGTAGGTGCTAAAGCTCAACTAACTTTCTTACATAGCCTAGAACCATCTGCCTAAGGATGCCGCTGCCTGAATGGGCTGGGCCCTTGGGCATCAGTGAACAAGATAATTACCCACAGACATCCCCACAGGCCAACCTAATCTAGGCTTTCCTCTCAGATAACGATGTCAAGTTGACAAAGCTGAGCCAATAGGCAAGCCCTAGAAGCCACAAAAAAACAGAAAACACTCCTAAAAATAAAGCTCCTCCCATGCTTTCTAAGTTTCACAGTTAAAATCATTCAGTCTATTTTAGTCATCAATTCATGGTCATCTTCCTGCTCTGGGTGACAAGCTGACACTAACAGCAAGCCCATGAATGCTAATTTCCTCTTTTTTTTTTTTCCAAGATTTATTTATTATTTATATGGCATTTTGCCTGCATACCAGATCTCATTATAGATGGTTATGAGCCACCATGTGGTTGCTGGGAATTGAACTCAGGACCTCTGGAAGAACAGCCAGTGTTCTTAACCTCTGAGCCATCTCTCCAGCCCTGCTAATGTCCTCTTTCTACCTAGTGACACTACCTAAGAAGGACTTTTTGTTGTTGTTTGTTGTTGTTAAGAGGGAATTGGATTCTATTACTGATGGCTGTGAGCCACCATGTGGTTGCTGGGAGTTGAACTCAGGACCTATGGAAGAGCAGCCAGTGTTCTTAACCACCGAGCCAAAATATAAGACTTTTTGTTTTTGTTTTGAGGCAACATCTCTATTATGTATCCTGGCTATTGAGGAACTAGTTATTCCTGTGCCTCAGACTCACAGAGATCCACCTGCTTCTGCCTCTGGAGTGCCACTATGCACAGCTCCCCTCATTGTTTTCAATCTGTGCGTGTGTGTGTAAATTTTATGATACAAATTATATGTAATTAACATTTCCCAGTTTAAATCCACCCATTCTAAACTGTAGAAAGCACACTGCCACAGGCAGCAGCCAGGTAAAGCCCACGGATGTACAAGACCCTGCTTTCCATACCTACACTAACACCATTGCCAAAATGTATGCTGAAGGGGCTGAAGAGGTGGCTCAGCAGTCAAGAGCACATGGTGCTGTTGGGGAAGAGCACTTCCAGGGGTTTTGTCGCCCTCTCCTGGCCTGTGTGGACACTGCCAATACACATACACACATAGTCAAAACATAGACAAAATAAAAAAATACACAACCATAAAAAAGCCACAGTACACAATGAATATTTAAATTAAAGGCAATTTCAGATGTATGAACTATGTAACTATTTATAAAACCAGAAGAAAGACCAGGAAAGAAACTCCACAACTGACCAGAGGACCAGAGTGTTCAGATAAGGACAGGAACAGGCAGTTGTTGGGAGGTGAATTATAAAGGAAACCGAGAGGCTTTGTGTATGGCTACATAATGAAAAGACACCCAAGAGACCTTGGTAAACACGTGCAGATGTATGCCATGTGTTCCACTGATTCAGTCACTCTCTCTTCATCCTCAGAGGCACCTATAACAGAGTTTTCAAATACTTTTATTCTTTTAGGGGTTTCAAAGATAATAGAGCTTTATCCTCATAAATGGAGCCTATCATTCCAGGCACTTGTGTTCTAATCAAATTAAATTTCCCGTTACTCTCTACAAATGTACACATACAGTTTTCATGCTGTTCACAAATGAAGCCCCAACCTGAAGCCTCAAAAGAAATTTCAAACCCAGATAATATGTTCCCTGGCTGATGCTAAATATAGTCTTCTCAAGATGACATACATTTTGACAATGATCAGCCTTACATGACAAAATTTCTAAAATAGCACAGATTTCATTTTAAGGTAAGCAGGAAAAATTGCTCCCCACTCAGCATCGCTGGAAAAGCTGCAGGAAGGAAAACTAGATTTAAAATAATTTTGCTGCAATTTTTTTCATTATTCTCTCCAAGTCAATTGTTGCAGGTAAAATATACAATTTTACACGTTTCTCTTTAAATGATTCCTCAGAAGCATCTGAGACTGAATCCTGAGCTGAGCCGGAGGGTGACGGCCTGTAATTCCAACTGCTCTGGGGGCAGGGATAGGGGGATCACAGTCCTGCCTGTCTGTGTTACCAGAGTGAGCTCAAGGATGGCTTGGACAGCCTAATAAGATGGATATGAAACAACTCGGTGGCAAAGAGCTTGCCCAGCAAGCACCAACTACATACAAATAAAGTGTTTACACCACAACTCCACCACGCAAAAAGCAAGCCTTTCCTCCAGTTAATTATGCACTTTTCCCAAACACCCCAAAACCCAAGAAAAGTCAGAGACATGCAGTTTGAATTTTTTTTTTACAGCAGCAATTCAATCTATAAAAAAATATTGGGGGGAATTTTATGTAGTTCGCTGAATATCGTGTGACCATGACTAAAATCTTGAGTTCGTTTCATCACGATACCCAAGACACGCTTCTGCTGAGACTCCCATGCAATGGGCCGTTGCTGTACAAATTTGGCTGATGAATGGCATGTCTGACGCTTTGGTCAGAGAGCTGATTTCTTAGTGGGACTTCTTTTTTTCCTGCCTGCTTGTCTTTTCCAAGGGCAGCCACTTTGTGAGGGCATTCCATAGGCTATTTTTACCACGTTATCTGCGCTCAACTCCGTGTCCACATTGTGGCCTTAAAAATAAAACGCACATCTCAAAGCCACGGAGCAATCACCTAATCGCTCAACTTGATCGTTTTCATTCACACACACACACACACACACACACACATACATGCGTGAAAGTATGTGTGTGTGTATAAACGGATATATATATATATATATATATATATATATATATATATATATATATATGAATGTACTGCATTTGAACATCTCACAATTTATTCATACGCTGTCTTCACTCAGAGCATAGCTTCACCAGAGCTCCGGGCATATCCCTGTCTTGGCGTTGGGGAGCAATTTAGAGAGCGGGCATGACAGGCTATCAAATCCCTCTTTCCCCAGCTTCCACAGGGACCCATGAGCGATTCTTTAAAATCACAGGCACTGCTAGCGGAGTCCGCAGCGGGCACGTGTCCGGTGCCACAGTGAACTCACCCGCTCAGACCCTGGGGGTCCCCGGCGGAGGGGTGGACACACACTCGACCCCCTCCCTCAACACTTTCCCCCAAACTCGGCAGCCTGGATGCAGGTGCAGCAGAAGCACCAGGCCTGGCCGGGGACCCACGCGGGCCGGCCGAGAGCAGCCAGCCCTCCCCGCCGCGTCCCGGAGCCCCCCGCGTCCCGGAGCCCCCGCTCCTACCCGCTGCTGCTCCGCGCCGCGCGTCCGGCTCTGCGCTGTCCACGCCGCCCCAGCCGCCCCGAGCCCTCTGGCCGCCGCGCGCCGGCAGCAAGTTTCCATAAAAGTCCTGGTGCGCAGCCCGCTCCCGCATTCCACACGGGCCCTGCGCCGCCGCAGCTGTTCCGGGACGCGCGGCCCGGCCCCTGCCCCCACCGCAGCCCTGCCAGGGGCGCGGACAGTCACCCAGAGAGCAGGGGGCGGTGGCTGCCGCTGAATGCTGCCCTCTCGGCAAGCGGCTGGCCTGCTCTCCTGGCTCCTCTACCTGTCCTAGTGGCTCTAAAAGCCCACCAGCCCGCTGCCCCGGCCCCTCTGCCTGCCCTAGTGGCCCATAAAAACCCACTGGCCCACTGCCCCTTTTCTGCTGAGGGAAGGGGACGGCCGTGCGAAAAGCATGCATCCATGTGTTGCTCCTAACTCTGAGGAGAGGTAACTGGAAAAGACGCTGAAGGGAGCGGGATAAGGTTCCAGGCGTCAGGGCTCACCTTCTCTTAGCTGACAGCAATCCACCTCTCCTCTTCCTCAGCAGCCATAAGCACTTTGCGAGTGGTAGGCAGGCCCGGGAAACCACATTTGACAGTGAAAGCCAAGCCCACCTGATGCCTGTGTGGATAAAGAGAGCCCCCCCCCCCCCCCCCCAGTTACCACTGCATCAAAAACAAACCAAACCTGGGAGCACAGAGCTCTGTGAGGAGCGCGTTTGTGTCACCCAGGCCCCAGTGACACAAAAAACAAAAACAATATTAATGGGCCCGGTGTGCTGCCGCACACCTGTGATCGCCAGCACTCTGGAGGCAGAGGCAGGTGGATCTCTGTGAGTTCCAGGCCAGCAAGTTCCAGGACAGCCAGGGCTGTTACACAGGGAAACCCTGTCTGGAAAAACCAAAGCAACAGCAAAAACAACCAACCAGACAAAATCCATCATAAATGAAACCCCGGTATGGTACCCCATCTCAGCACTTAGCGAAGGCAAGACCTTCACTGCAGAGAGTTTGAGGACAGCCTGGGCTTCCGTGGGCTTCTCTCAGAAATCCCTCAGGGGGGGAAATCGGAGGCATCGAGGTACGTGGTCCAGAGACAAAGGAACCACGGCTGATTTCACCACCAGGCTGATCAACACACAAGTGATGTCTCTCATTCTCGAAACATAGCCGTTTGCAATCTCATCCCTATAACCAGGAGGGCAACTTTCAATACCCTCAACCAGTTCAGGCCACGGGACTCTCCCCAGCCTCACACAAGCTCCCTGTAAGGCACTTTCACCCTTTGAGCCCACCTTTAGCCCTCCGTTTGAATGTTGCATTTTCCGAGAAGGCCCCTCCCACTCTCCTTACACCCCTTAATGAGAGGTCTTTTCCTCACTGGATACTTAAGCTATCATTGTATCATTATTCCGATTTTTAGTGGATGAGATTTTGTGTTTCTTCCCAATAGCCTCATCAGATCATGCAAAGCTTTCTGGTTTCTCTTGAGGTGCTAAAGGCAGGTTAATAGTTATGGACCGCTCTAGAACAGGGCTCCTCAACCTGCGGGTCATGACCCCTTTGGAGGGTTGCCTAAGATTATCAGAAAACACAGATATTTACATTACAATTCGTAACAGTAGTAAAGTTACAGTTATGAGGTGACAAAGAAAATAGTTTTAAGGTTGGGAGGATCCACAGCATGAGGAACTATATTAAAGGGTCGCAGCATCTGGAAGGTTGACAGCCGCTGCTGTAGAATCACCAGGGAAGTCTCAAGGATGGAATGTCTAGGTAGTCCGAAGGGGACCCAGCAGCTGTGAGTTTCTTAATCGGGCCACTTTAGGTGGGAAGAAGCAAATCAAGGTGGGCTGTGCTATGTCCTGGGGCCGAGCCCTGGACTGTATAAGAGGAAATGAGTAGACTATCTGCAGGCACCCACCTACTCTGCCTTTTTTTAAAGAGGGTCTAACCCTGGGACCTTAAATGGCCTGGAACTGGATGTGTAGCTGGGTTGGCCTCTGCTGGGATTAAAGGCGTGCCCCACACATACCCTCCCCCGTTCTCTGCTTTTGACTGTGCATGTGACTATCACTGCCCCAAAATGATGAACTGTAACTGGTGCTAAGCACTTTGTTCCTTACACTGTATTTCACACAGCAGAGAAAAGGCAGATGTGACACAGGCCCCGAAAGGCTGCCTTGTTCTCCCAGCATGTCATCATGCATCCCACAGAATCGGCTGCAGACTTCAAGCTGTGACGGCACTCCTGCTCTCAAGGAACACGAAGTCTCGTGGAAGGAAGGTGAGCATACAGGTGACTTATGGCTGTGCTTAGTGATGCCAAGCATGGAAAATCTCATGTGAGAAGTCTTGGGGGGAAATGAGGGACTATATCAGTGTTTCTGTTACTATCACAAAGTATCTGAGGCTGTATCTAACATGTGGTTTATTTCTATCGTAATTCTAGACTATGATGGTGGGATCAGCTTGGGTCTGATGAGGACATTGCTTCAGGTGGCACGCACTGGCCTGGAATTAGTGAGAGAGATCACACAGAGACAGGAAAGCGTAGGAGGCCTGTAATGATTCCTTTGGATCCCAACTGTTTTGTTTTGCATGCATGAATGTGCTGCTATGTATGTGGATGAAGGTGTGTGCATTTGGAGGCCAGATGATGCCTCAATTTTATTTCCTCAGAAGAGGGGTTGAAATGAGAGCTATACTGAAGCTCTATGAACACATGGCTTGGGCTGAGCCTAGAGAGTTTCTATCTAACTATCCCTAGGCCAAGGGCTAGAAGCTTCAAGCCTCTGTACAATCCAGTCTTCTGACACCTGGACCCTGAAGGCTTCGGCTTCCCGCCTCTGTCTGCTAACCTAGGCCTAGAATGTTCTCAGCCTCTGAGACTTACTGCTGAATAAGCTCATCCTTTCTAGTTCTTTCTGAACTCTGACTGGTTCAACTCAACTGTCTGGCTCAAAACTCTTCTCCAAGCTTACTGATTCAAATCGGCTTCTCTATAGACTTCTCAGTGAATTGCTCTACTTGGAAAAACTGCCTCTGAACATCATGAGCTGAACTGCATGAATTCAACTGCACTCAAGTGAACTCTCCTGTCCTTCCAAACTCTACAGTACTGTCTCCATGAACAACCCCCACTGTCTCTGTGCTGCTCTTAAGTAGCTTCTTTCCTGTTTGTTCTCATAAGTTGGGTGTATCGTATCTCTGATTCATTCTGTCAAATCTATGATTCATCACCTTTGTCTGTCCCTCAACATTGTTTGGGGTTGAAGGTATATACTAAACTGCAGCCAGAAGGATTAAAGATGTGTACTAAGGGCCCATCTGTATTCTAACTGGATCACACAGACCTAGGTCTTTGGATGTGATCCCTTGCCGGAGCAGCCATGTTCTGAATTAAAATTCCTCTCCAGCTGGCGTTGTTTGCTTACGAAGACCATTCACTTTTTTGAGTCTCTCTGGCCTGGAGCTCCCAAGTACGTTAGACTGGCTGGGCAGCCAGCCCCTGGTGCCCTCCTTTCCCTCCTCCCCCACCACGTGAGCACCGCCATGCCAAAGTTCCTATGTGTGGGTGATGAGGCTTGATCTTGGGTTCTCATGGCTGCAAGGCAATCATTTTTCTTACTGAGCTCTCTCCTCAGCCCGAGCAGCCTCTTCCTGAAAGATCTTAGAGGCTCTACCACCATTTATCTCCACAGAGGACTCAGTGCCCATACAATTTACATGAATGAAGAGAGCCACATCTGCCCCACAGAAGGCCGTACGCTATGCAAAGACTGTAAGACATGGCTACCTGGGGAAGAGCTAGTCCACAGAAAGGAGCCTATCTAACATGTGCTAGGAAAAGCAAGGAGGCTTGTGAGGGTGAAGGGTAGGACATGGAGGGTTAAATACAGGAGGTGGACAGGACAGACAGAAGCTTTTGCACGGCACTACATGGGTTTTGACTCTAAGACAGGCGGCACCGGTGGGTCTTGAACAAAGCGTGGCATGCTATGACTTGTCTGCAGCTTTGGCTCAAGTGTTATAGACAAATGGGGTCACTGAGGAAGCAGAAGACAGACCGAGAGGGTGTGCAGAACCAGGATGAGAGGTAACATGGTTTGACGGATGGAGAGGGGGTGAGAAGTGCCTGGCGTGGCTCCAGATGGATCTGGAAGGCTTTTGTGAACAGACTGCCCGGCACACACACACAGAGTTTGGTGACCTTCTAGAAGCAGACACATTCTGGTGGGAAAGACTGGTGACATTCAACACCTGGCAGAGGTCAAGGTGGGTTAAGTATTGCCATCTAAATCTGTGATTAGTAGAAACTCAAGCTTTGCAAACCTGTGTATGAATTCCTGTTGCAGGTATCATGAATCAGTTGGTGTGTTCTCAACCTGTCTTGGTTGTATTTTGTGGATTTCAAAGCTGGGACCCTGAGTGGACTCAGTGTGCTACCACTAAGCCATACCTTCAGCCTCCTTTCAGATTAGACAAACACCTTAACAATGAACACAGAAACAAAGTGAACAGTTTGAAACCAACCACCAAAGGCCAATAGCTTATAAAACTTAACCATCAATCATGAAGAAAACAAATGTAAAATCCTGGGTGTTGGGTCTGCAGTCATTGCTCTTCATATTTCTAGGGATTTTTCACCTTTAAAAGTAAGGGATGCAACTGGTTGTCTAGTGCTAAATAGCTATGGACCCTGAAAACATACACACAAGTAACATATGGACTCAACGAGTTATATTTAGGAACATACATAGGAATATACAAATACACATGTGCATGCAGTAACAACTGATACAAAAGAGGCCCTGAATTTGAAGGCACAGAGAGGGCCATGTGAAAGGTTTGTAGGGAGGGAAGGGAAGAGTGATGCTATAATTAAAATACAATTTCAAAAACAAACAACAGCAACAAACAAGGAAGAGATACTGGGTATGGAACACGTGAACTGCAGAGACACGGGCAGTCAAACATCTACAGCTTGGTCTCCATGAGTCCCAGGCCAGCCTGGGCTCCATAGTGAGGCCCCACTAA